CAACTGTGTCTTTATGCAACTTGGACCAGGTGTCTTCAACTCTGTGTGTGTGTGTGTGTGTGTGTGTGTGTGAGAGAGAGAGAGACCAAGTACCGAGAGAGACTGACTGTGAACCTTAGAACAGTGTGTATGTGTCTAATGAAGACCAGCTTTCTGGGAATGTGACATAGTGTATGTCCAACAAAGGCTGTGGATATGTAACAACAACCAAAACTAACTTTAGGCATGTGAAATACTTTGTGCATGCATGACTTTAGAAGACAAATTCTGTGTATATGACTATTTCTGCCCAAGCCTCAGTGTATGTGTGTGTGTGTGTGTGTGTGTGTGTGTGAGAGAGAGAGAGAGAGAGAGAGAGAGAAGAGTGTCCGCATGCATGCCTTCACCTTTGTAACCAAAACTGTAACTGCGTTTGTCTCAAAGATTGTAACTATTTGTCTCTAATCATAGTGTGTGGTTCTTAATGTAGGCTCTCAGTGTGTATGTACGTATACCAGTGAGCATGTATCTAACCAAGGGTGTAACTATGTATCTAAAGACGGCACTCAACAAGAGTGAGTTTATAACTAATGGAACACAGTGTAATGAATAAAAACAGTAAGAGTGTGTGTGTGTGTGTGTGTGTGTGTGTATGTGTGTGTGTGTGAGAGAGAGAGAGAGAGACAGAGAGAGACAGAGAGACAAAGAGAGAGACAGAGAACATTGAGCAGGTAGCAAACCAAGATTGTAACTATGTATCTAAAGATGAAACTCAGTAACAGTGAGCTTGTAACTAATGAAAAACACTGTAACAAAAATGGTAATGTAGTTGATGTGGTGTGATGTGGTGGTGCTGGTGGGGTGTGTGTGTGTGTGTGTGTGTGTGTGTGTGTGTGTGTGTGTGTGTGTCTTGATTTCAGGAGCCTGATAAGTAAGCCAGGGGGCAGACCCTGAGTGCATCTGTATTCTTGGAACACACCAGGGAGCCGCACATCTGTTGCCACGTGGCGGCTCTGTGTCTCTGTGGAAACCTGAACTTGGGAGCTCTCTCTCTTCTGAGCAAGTGGGTTCTCAAGCTGAATGTGGTCCCTAGCCCTGGGCCAGCCATGTCTACTGGACTGGGCTGTACACTCTGCCTTTGGCTGCCCTGGCCCTACTGTGTGCATGGGCCTGCCAGCCATCCTTGGCAGCCTACTGAGCTGAGGTGGGGGACTATTCTGAAAGCAGGAACGAGTATCAGATGGCATGCCAGGGCTATCAGATGCTACTGAGTCTGCATTTGCTTAAGACTTCTGCCCCAATTCCCACCCCCACCCCATACACACATGTGCACAGAGCTACAAAACGGGGTTGTCCAGGACCTTGGGGAATTGGGTGCTAGTTTGATTTTCTTGCCTCTTTTGTCCTGCTGGTCCCCCAGATAGAGAGGTGTATACCCTCCTTGGGCCCCAGGGAGGAGGTGGGAGGATGGGGCTGTGTTGGCTCTGCTGAAGGAGCTGAGTCCCACCCAGTCATCCCTGTGGTGGGGATGAGGAGGCCCCCTTCTCTTTGCCTCCCTCCAAGAGGAAGGGGGGGCAGGGGTAGGAGAGCCAGGCCCGCCCCTCAGGGTGACCGGGGCCCTTCCTCCTGCACATATGACAAAAAATCCAAGTCCTCTCTATTAATGAGAAAAATGTGCCACGATTGAGCAGTGGCCAGGAGCCTCCCCCTCCCCCCCAAGCTCTCTAGAAATGATACTGAGATGAAGAGCAGCAAGGCAGCCTCCCTGTTTCCCCCTCTGAGCCCTGGCCTCTCCTCCTCTCTCTCCTCTCCTCTCTTATCCTCTGCTCTCCTCTGCTCTCCTCTCCTCTCCTCTCCTCTGCTCTCCTCTGCTCTCCTCTCCTTTGCTCTCCTCTGCTCTGCTCTCTTCTCCTCTCCTCTCTTCCCCTTCTCTCCCCTTCCCTCCCTCTCATTCTCCCTCCCATCTCTGGGCTTGTTTGAAACTGTGGAGGAATCTGGCTGGAGCGGGGGAGGGGGCTGAATATTTGGGTTTAAACAGTTCCAGATGGGTTTGGCACGGGCAGAACAGGAGGAAGTGAGCGAGCGAGCGAGCAGGCAGGGGAGGGAGGAGAGGGATAGAGTCAGGGAAGGGAGAGGGAGCCAGCAAGGGTGGGAGCCCGAGCTGCCTGCCTGCCTGCCTGGCTGCTCTGGGGCTGGGACAGAGGGAAGGAGGGGAGCAGCTTGGCTCCGATCAGTCCCAGGGACAGGAATTCTCGGGGCTGCTGGCTGCAGGGTCGACCACCTGGCAGCTTCTCACTCTGTCTCCTGACTGCTGCTCTCTCCATCTTGCTCTCTACTTCAGTTACACTGTCTTGGTGTCTGTATCACTGTTGGGCCAGCCCGGATCCCCAGTCTCCATGACAGACAGAGTAGTTTAGTGTCTGGGACCTTGGACTTGGCGGCAGGAGGGCTCCTCAGACAGTTCCCTGGTCTGTGAAAGGAGAGGGTTTCAGCACTGCATCTCTGAAGCCCCTCCCCTGTGTCTCTGCATCTCTGAAGCCC